TGACTTTGTATCCACCCTAGTTTTGCAAGGCACATCTGCTTTTAAAATGAGTGCATCAACTTTTATCTGAAATAAATTCTTTATTCCCTTAATCTCTTATCACATTGTGCTTTCCAAAATTAGTCAAAAAGCTATGTCTTGAACAGTAGCCAAACCACAAAAGATACAGCTCTAAGATTGATCCTGAATTTACAAAATCATCAGCCTTCGAATCTTAGTCACAAGTCATTTTTTAAATGACTCATAATATGTTGGCATAGTTCTTTTCTTTTGAAAAGTTTAAGATTGGATGGTTAAATAATTTTTTTTTAACTTAAGGGGCCTAAGGGATCCCCAGTACTTTCCCTCAGCCCAAAGAGCTACTTCCCTCTGGGTTTTTTTTCCTTTTTCTTTTTCTTTTGATACAGGGTCTTGCTATGCAGTTTGGACTCACAGTGATCTGCCTGTTTCAGCATCCCTAGTGCTGGCAGTACAGGCATGCGTCACCATGCTAGGTACCTGGGATTGAACCTGGGACCTTGTGCTTGCTACATAGGTGGTTATGCCACAGAGCTATCTTCCCAGTCCTTCCTCTGGGTTTCTAAAGAAGAAATGAGTTTGTCACAGGATTCCTGAATTAGTCCCTACTACCTGATCCAAAATCATGGCCTTGAGTTACCATGGCTACTGTCAGGGTGAGTTCCAAACCCAGTCCTAGCTACTTTCAGCCCTTATTAACTGGTTATTTTCTCAACATCACTGTTAACCTCAAGTGTAGAAAACCAGTCCTCCTCCTTCACTCAATATTGCTATTACTACATTGCTCTTTTATCAACAGTTTAAGGATAACAAAGGGTAAGCACAGCATGCAGAAATAACTTCAAATAATTTCTACCTGAACCCCACACTGACTTTGTATCCACCCTAGTTTTGCAAGGCACATCTGCCTTTGGTCTACCTCATTATCTTTTTCCTTAAGCTTCTTCTGTTTATTATTGTCCAGCTAACTTTTCCTTACCCCACTCCAAATCTTCTCCTATCTTTCTTCTATTTCCTATCTCTACTAACCTTAGCCAAAAGAGGCCTTTCTCAGGTTTCTGTTACTTCACTCTGCAAAGGAATCTAGGCTCTTTTCTCTCAGTCTTTTCTTTCCAAATGCTGTCTAGTAATCTTATAACTAACAAAAAAGCCCTAGAAAGCTGTCTTCTAAACAGAAGTTCACATTTGTTCTCTGTGAAGGATGTTCCACCCTCCTAAATTATCTGGCAAGAGCTTCAGCCTATCCCTAAAATAATTTTTCCTCCCTGTTAGAAAAACATATCATAATTTTACAATCAAATGACTGTTTTGATCCTCAGAGAAGCAGTGAGAGAATATTCATCTACTGAAATAAGATTATCACATAAAGAAATGTGCATTGTCTTCTGAACAATTCACTAATTCCTCAAGAAGAACAGCTCACTGTTATGTCTTAGGATAGCTTCTTTTGATTCAATTCTTTTACCTCTGCTTTGATCTAATTCTAATTCTTAATTTCATTCAAACAACCAGCCAATCAGCCGACACACATCTGCATGTGGGAATCAGTCTTAGTACTCCAGGTAGTCTCAGTTCAAAAGGGGGTTCCCAGAGCTGCCTATGAACCAAGAGAGCTGGAGGGGGTGGAAGTCCTGTGTCGTTACAACATGTGTTGAAGGCAGGAAGAACTGTGGTAAGCTATCAATAGTTTACAGGGCAGAGGAGGAAAGTTTCCTCCGGAAGGCTGATCACTCTCTCAGTTCATTAAGACACACAGCACAGTTCTACAAGTAAGTTAATAATACTAGTAACCCTGCTTCTTTACTGGAAATATGATAAAGTGCTTATGCTTAAAATATGATAATAGCTGATAAAATGCTTAAAATGGAACTGTTCTAAATTTTAACTGTTTTCCCATTCATTCATTTGCTCGTTCATTTAACCAAGAAGTATTTATTTATTTTGGAGAAGGCAAGCTGCATCTACTGAATTTTCAGGTATTGTTATTAGATCAGTGGAATAAATAAAGTTAAGATTTGTCTAATGTTTCATCACAGTAACAAATCTTCTGTATTTAGTATATTATTTACTGTATTTAGTATATTATTCTGGAGGGGGAAAGAATATATGTACATTTTATATAAAGTTAAAAAGTAACTAATTCTCTGCATTTTAAGACTTTATCTTCATAGAAAACTCATATATTTAAAAAGATACTTTTTTTCTCCAGGGATTGCAGAGCAAAAGTTTACTAGATAACAGTATTTAGTATTCAGGAAACTGAATGTCTTAATATCCAAATAATTTTCAAGTGAATTTTCTCTCTAGATTTTATATTTATTCCTGGAATATCAGATAAAATAAGAGAAACTTGTGTAACTATTTCTTACTGTTCCACATATCCTATTCCAAGCTAGTGGTGAACAAGGTTGGGAGGTACTTAAGGTTTTCTCCTCCTACCTTCCCATTCCTTGGAGACTTTTTTTCCCCAGAACCGGGGATTGAGCTCAGGCCCTTGTGCTTGCCAGGCAAGCGCTTATCCTACTGAGCTATCTCCCTGGCCCCGTTTGGAGACTATTTTGAAACTGATGTTCTGTGGCTACTCAAAGCTTCTCCAACACTGAATCTGATGACATCTCCTCTGTAAGTCATTCCTCAAAAAATTAAAATCTTTGCTCAGGTTCCTTCTACCCTCCTCTCAAAACTGGTCTAATCTCATAAACTAACTCAACTAACATTTGAATCATGATGATCATAGTTTAACATGTGGTTATTCTCAGACAACATGCAGAACAAGAGAAACTTATAGAGCCATAACTGTAATCTGAGTGTTAACTCTTTTTATTTATTATTACTGACAAACAAATACAAAACAACCAAAGAATCAAGGGTTATAACGAAAACAACCACCCAGCTTAGATTTCACTTTAGATGAAGAGAGGTAATGAAAATACTACTATCTGATAGTGATATTTGTATATAGTTTGCATTTGTATTTAGTCTTCTTATATGATATAACACATAAACTTAAAGCCACTCAAGTTTATATTGTTATTCTTCTGCAGATGGGAAGGAAGGCTCAGTGAGGTTAAGTTGCTAAGTTTTAAATGGCAGAGCTCAGACTACACAATTCCAACTCCAACTCAAGCATTTCTACTATGCCACCACTTCTGCAAATGCTCACAACATGTAAACTTAAAGTAAATAAAAATATAAACATATAGAAACACAGCAAGAATATACTGTAATTCCACATACAGTCAGTTTGAAAAAGATGTGACACAGATGGGGGAGAAGAGTGAGCAAGCCAGGCAAGAGGAAACAAAGACTATGGGCCAGAAAATGTCAAAGGTGGAGAAACAGAATGAGAGAAAGAGATAAAGGAGGATCTGAAAGGATGTTAGAGACCTTCATCTTGCTTCCAGCCCCCACCTGCAGGCTATCTCCTGAGCAGTCCTGCTCCACGTTCCTCTAGCTCGGTCCAGGCAGCCGAGTCTTTCCCACCCAACCTGTCCTGAGAGCAACAGGCTGGGGTATTTACAGACTCCCCAGGGATCTGACCTTATCTGGCCAACTCACTGCAATCACTTTAAGTAGATTTCCTTCCCTTGTTCAGGGAACAAAACTAAAAGCAATTCACTTGAGAAATCTGCACATCTCCTCTGTCTCAGAATCAAAGGAGACAAAAGCGCTTAACTAATAGTACCCAAAGTACTATGGCAGAAACAAAATAAAACCAAGAATTCCATCACCTAAAAAAAATGTCAAAACTTGCCTATGTATGCAATTTTCACTGAAAATGACTAAATTAGTTTTTGTTTTTTTAAGGGTGTGTGTGTATGTGCAGGGTCTTACTAAGCAGCTCAGTGATCCTCCTGATTTCTGCCTCCCTAGTGCTGGGATTACAGGCATGTGTCACCATACCCGGACTCCATCCAGGCTCACCACACCCGGCGGGGAGGGCAGGGCCAGCATGGCATGTGGTGCCAGGAATCAAACCCTGGCCCTGCACTTACCTCAGCAAGCACTAGGTCTGCTGAGCTATACCGCCAGTCAACTATCCTTAATTAGACATATAACAGGAGATGGGGGGGATAAAAATGAGTGAGATGTCATGTGTGTACGCACCAATTCCCAAGGTGAATATACTTACTACGTGTTGAAAATATATACTAATAAAAATGTAAAAAAAAGATACATATCTTATATGACTAGCATTGAACAAATTACTAGCATTTAACACATCATTGATACAATATTTTAATGAAAAGAACTGTTTTGGTTGATATTGTCTGAGTTTGAATCCCAGTTGAAGCTCTTAGTAACTGAGTGATTTGGGGCAGATAACTTACTAAATTTGAACCTATGGTTAATAATACAGGATTAGGGGACCAGGGAGATAGCTCAGTGGAATAAGTATTTGCTTGGCAAGCACCAGGTCCTGAGTTTGATCCCTGGTATCACAAAAAAAAAAGATTTAAAAAAATAATACAGGATTAGACACAAAGGTAGTTTTAAGAATTAAGGCCTGGCGTGGTGGCACATGACTATAATTCTAGTGCTTTAGGAGGCTGAGGCAGGAAAAAGTTGCCTGAAACTTAGTGTCTTAGTGAAGTCTAAACTAAAAAAATTTAAAAAGCTTAGGCTATCACTCACTGTGAAGACCTGGGCTCAGTCATGTAATCATTGGAAGAGACAGAGACAGAGACAGAGACAGAGAGACAGAGAGAGAAAAAAAGAAAGTTTGAAACTGTTGAAATATAGTAAGCACACAACAAATGTTATCTGTTATTATTGTTATTAGTCTATGTAACTGTGCTACATACCTGCATAAAACTTTAGTGTAGTATATATGTTTTTGCATTTTTTAAAAATGAGGGCACTTGCAAAAGTTTTAGAAAAAAAAATTTTTAACTACATGGGCAATTGAAAAAGTCAAATACTGATAATCACATAAGTAGACACTGAAAACCAGAGCTGCCATCTTTTCCCAAGTCGCTCACCTCAAAGTCTATCAGCTGCAAGTCAGCTATCAGTGTCACCAGCAGCCCGCTCTTGTAGAGTTCTTGTGCCAGCTGAGCCACCATCTCTGTTGGGGGTTCCTTGTCATTCGTGCCACACAGAATTTCTTTCATTGCTTGCAGTGATTTTGACACTTCTTCTGAAGCCTAGTGATCAAAAAGTATACTAACCATTTTTTGTTTTTGTGGTATTGGGGATTGAAGCCAGGGCCTCATGCATGCTAGGCAAGCACCCAACCACTGAGCTATAGCCCCAGCCCCACTAAAGCTTAAAAATATAAAAAAATTCAGATCATTAAACTAGAAAACTATATCTTAAGTCCTGTTTGATTGTAATTAAGAGCATTGGGCAGCTATAAATACACAAGAAACCATTAATAAACACAACTTTTTATTTTGGAAAATACTATTAAAATTTATATGAAACTTTTAATATTATACTTAGTAGACATAATTAAAATAATTTTACTTTAACTTGTACTCAATCTAATTTTGCTAGTAGTTAAATAGAACTGTTACTCCAGAAAGTTAAGTTCAATCTGTTTTAAAGACTTATGTGCAGTTACTAGTCTTTATTTAAAGCTTTACATTAAGGTTTTTCAATAAATCCCCATTTTTCCTGATCTTTTAATGGACCAAATATGAAATCATATTTGGCAAAGCTCATAAACTTTCTTTGTCAATTCACTTATTTGTCATACGTTACCACCATCTTTTTTCTAAATGTGAACTTAAAAATAAACCACTCATTGCCTTTAAGAAGTAATAGGTAAATCCATGGAGGAAGAAAGTAGAACAGCGGGTGCCAGGGTGTGGGGGAGGGGATGATGAGAGAGACCTGCTAGTGGGTACAGGGTTTCTACTGGGTGAACCTGGTTTTAGGTTCACCACCTAGAATCAGGCAGTGGTGATAGCTGTGCAATCTTATGAATATAATAAAAGTCATTGAATTGTGAATGTTCTAAATGGAAACTACATGGTCTGTGAAGTAAATCTCAATAAAAAACTCATTACACTAATATAGGTAGCATAAAGCAGATTATTTTAGTTAACAATTACATTTTTTTGATGTTTTAAAAATTTTTATTAGTGTGTTTGCAGAACATAGTGATGACATTCATCGCAGGGAATTGGTATATGTACACAACACATCTGAATTCTCCCCCACATCTCTTGGTCCTATTTCCATTTGCAAAAGATCTATCTCCCTGTTTCATGTTATCCATCTTTTATTTTTCTCATATAAGAGAAATCATACGATACTTACACTTATGTATCTTATTTCACTTGACATGGTCTGGTTTTCTCAACATGTTAAAGCAAGCATAGTTTTATTACTTTGTAGCATATAAATTATAAATTAAGAAATGAGTAGAATGAGATAGATTACATAATTAAATAAATCATGGTAGCAAGAGACTACTTTTTTGCTTTTGTTTTTAATTTTTTGAGACAGGATCTCACTACATAGTTCAGGCTGGTCTCAAACTCAAGATCCTCCTGCCTCAGCCTCTCAAGCACTAGGATTAGGGGAACACACAGTTATGCTCAGTCCAAAGATACTATGTTTTAAAAAGGAGTCTACCATATAGTTATGTCCAACTGAAACAACTGTTAATGTTAAGAGCTAGAAGATTCTTAAATTTTGAGATGAATCCACAGAAGAGTACTTTCAACATGTAAGGAAAGCTAAGTATAATCATCTTTGTGACCATTACCCAGGTCAAGAAATAGAACATTTGCAACACCTTTGAATGCTATCTTTTCAATCTATATATAAATACTTATATGTTTTTCATGACAATGGCTATAGTTTTGGTCTGAAATGTTATTTTTTGGGCTCATACCTTGTCTGTCTTTTTATCTTGCTTTTCCAAAATAGCCATGTTGTCTTTCAGCATTTTCACGATTTCTGCTGGATTCTTATGTGATTTACTAAATAAAGGCATTTTTTTCATGTAGAAAAACTCTTCTTCCAATATGGAATACTAAAACAAACAAGACAACAAAAATCATAATTTTTATTCTTAATATGCTTAACTTGTTACAGCAAAATGTCCTATAAGTTTTAGATAAGTGTAATTCTGTAATTTGAAATATTAAAAATGATCAAACTAAAATGAGTTTTAAGCTTTATGCCAAATTTCAATACATATAAAATAAACAGTTTAAGGAAGATATTTCAAAAGCTTTACCTAAATTTTTTTACTCAAAGTCTAAATTTTGTCCTTCATTAGAAATACAACAATCCTGCAAATATAATATGCACTTTTAATGTATAAGCTGGTATATAAAATTCTATCTTTTGACCGAAGAAAGTGGTTATAATTATAATAATAATAACAAATGATGAAACATGTAAAACACAAATGAAGTTAGGATTCATGTACTGTCCTAAAGCAATACTCAAAAGCACACCACTACCTACTCTATAGCAGTCACAAAACTGCACTGTAAAATTATTTACTCTTCAAATACTGATAAAATAGTCATGATGGAGGGTGGAGGAGTGTGGGAAAAAGAAGTATCAATTCTGATTGGTGAGAAGATCTAGTATATACAGCAGAGAAAGCCAAATATGGTTTTCATTCCCTTATTGCAAGTATTAGGGGAAAAGATCTGATAAAGTCTCCAGCTACAAAAGGAATTCATTAGTTTATATGTATTGGTTAAAAATACTTCAGCTATTACAGAAATAAAGTATAATGAATCAGAATTGTGTGACTCAAGTGCTCAGGGATGATAACAGTTACCAGTCTGTCCCCTTTCAAAATTTATTCTATAAATACGTATCAGGTTAATATTACTCTTAGTTTTGTGGACTGATCAGGTTCACAGTCTCCCAAACAAGCAGACAGTGAAGGCTAAATAAAAAAGAGACAAGTGGAATAATTTTAGGGCTCCAGAAGGATCAAAACCTTCTCACAGAATTCAAGATTCTCTGGGGTTAAGACAAGATCTTCTCTGGGTGGCCCTTATTTATTTAGTTATCAGAACAAGGGAAGGGTGTAGTCAAGAATGTTCCTTTAGGAGAGCTATGTTAACTCCAGGAAGGACTCCACCCAGGAGTGAGATGCCTGAGGCTACAATCTTTATCTAGTGGAGGTTGAAGCCAGGTGTCCTTGACTGTGATCTTGTCTTATCCTTTGAGGCATCACCACTTCACCTGCCCTTACAGGCCTCAATAGGGACCAGTAACTCAGGGAGGTCCATTTACTATGAGTCCACTGCCCATCTCCTGACAAGGAGCCTTGGATGGATTCGCAAGTACACATGAAAAGCCAATTGGTTAATTTAGGTTTTGCTCAGGGCTGATTTGTAGTGGTCTCTTATCATATAAAAAAAACATTTTCAAAACAAAACAAGACTAACACTAATAGTATTTTGGGCCAGTGAGATAGCTCAGTGGACTAAGTGCCTGCTTAGGCAACTGCAGGGACTGGGGTTTGATCCCAGGCACCACATGCAGTACCAGCCCTGCTGCCAAGCATGCTAAGCTGGCCAATGAAACCGGGCATGGTGGCACATGCCTGTAATCCCAGCAATGGGACAGGGGCTGAAAACAGGAGGATCACTATGAGTCCAAGCTGCATAGTGAGACCTTCTACCAAATACATACATTAAATATTTGAGAACTTTTGCACTTGTTATATCCTGGATACCATTCCATGAGTATGTTTAAGTCTACTACAATATTTTTAGTAATGGTAACAGTGTTTTATTATATAAATATAATTAATTTTACCAGTAGCCTGTGGTGGCCATTTCATTGTTTTGATTTTTTTTATTAACAGTGATATAATTAATCAATGAAGAAAGAATATACACAAATGCATACATCAGTTAATAGCAGTTCCATCACCATCTCTTTCTATTATAATCCTGACTATGGCTCCAAATCTCCCATCCTTCTAGCTTTCTATTTATTTCCCAAATCTGTTTCTTCAGGATTTCTGCATGATCTGTGAGCTGCTTGATATCCTTGCAATAGATTCCTTCAGGTAATAAAATCAGTAGTTGTTGTTTGTGACCAGAATTCCAATGGTAACTGGAAAATTAGTGTGAATTTTTTTATGATAGAACAGAAAACTTAAGGAATATTTGCTGTTCTCAGCAGGGCTCCTCTGTGTGGGCTCAGTAAGTGTGACAGGAGCTTGTCCACCCTCAGCCCAAGGAAAAATCTGAAAGCCACAGTAAGGGATCCAATCAGCATGTGAAGCTGAACCACGGTTGCCAGAGAATCTGAAGATAAAATACCTGCAGAGTCTCATGGGCGGTGTAAGTTCCACAAAAAGAGACACAGGTTTTTTAGATGTACATTGTGTCTGTCTCTATGAAACGCAGGAATGAAATTATAAAGGCATACTTAGGTTTTTCCTTATCCATCTTTCCTCTCATAAACAGATCTAAACATAGATGGATTTAAGTTTGTGTAGTGGGTAGGGTGGGTGCCAAGTCCCTGGATAGATGGGCACACCTATCTGTTACTTCCTAATTGGTGATCCTGACAATTATGCAACCTCTCTAAGCATCATCGGTAGATGGAAATAACAGCTGTTGCCAAGAGTAAAGATCCAAGGAGCACCTGGAATAGGGAGGGCTCTTGGTACAGCCAAGGCATTCTATAATGTTTAGCCACTATTATACAAAATGTTCCATGACATAATTAGGTTTCACCAAAGATAAAGGCATAGTACTTGAGATACGATTCTGTCAGAAATGTTCTTAGATATTTCTGGCTCCTTGAGTCAATTATATTGTTTTGTTATTTTTTCACAATAGAAATTTATTCTCTGAATGCTTAATACTCAATGTTCACATATTTGACATTAAAGCAATTTTATGAAGAAGCTAAATGCATTTGTGTAATTGTGCATTCTCTTCGTGTAGTCCTGCCATATACTCAGAGAAAGAAATATCATTGTAGAATTTCCACTAAATTATTCCTGCCATCAAAACATAGCACAAATGACACAGTGTGTTTTCTGGCCATTACCTATCCTACTTGGTTCTCACACTATCAGTCTAACTCTAATGCCAAATTTGCTGGAATTGCAAACATTTTCAGGACTTCTGAGTTAATACGGTGAAGCTGGGTATGGTGGTGCACACCTGTAATTCCAGTACTTGGAGGCTGAAGCAGGAGGACTGCTGACAGTTTAATGCCAGCCTGAACTGCATAGTGAGACCCTGTCTCAAAAACAAAACAAAAACCAAATTAATACAGTGTTTGGCCAGCATTTCCTGGTTCATTATCTTCCAATAATTCATTTGGTGGTTGGTCCGTTCATCTATTGGCTGAGTAAATAATCCTAGTTAAGTACTCTGCACAGGTATCTTGCTTAGCTTAAGCGTTAAGGAAACAAACAAGAAAAACATAATCTTTGCTTTGAGAGCTTTTTTTAAATTTATTTTTTTAATTTTATTTTTTGTTTTGAGACAGAGTGTTGGTATGTAGGCCAGCATGGCCTCAAACTCAGCCTCCTGAGTGCTGGGATTACAGGCATGCACCACAACACCCATCTTGGAGCTTTTTATTAAGTGGAAAAAATAAACATGTTAGAGGTACTAGAAAGATGTAACAGTATACTACCATAGAGTATCTCTTAGTACAGTATCCTTTTCCCATATTTCAAATATATCTATTGAATTTAAAAACTGTGAAATTTACTTAATGTATTAAACTTTCACTTAAAATTCAATTTGTATTTTTAAAATTTTTAAGTTTTCTTAGTACATGCTTATAACATAATGATTACAACCATCTTGGAGAGTTGGTAGATGTTGATAACATTTCTCAGCTCGTTTTTCATCCCCTTTAACTCTCCTCTCTCTCCCCTCCCTACATTTTAAACTTCTGTGTGCTTTGTTCTTTTGCTATGACATGTAGGCTGGCGTGGAACTAACTATGTAGCTCAGGCTGGCCTCAAACTTACAACGATCCTCCTCCTTCAGCTTCCCAAGTGTTAGGATTACAGAAGTGTACCACAAGGCCTGGCTCTCATTTTAAACTTTTATCCTCATACTAAAACAAAAAAGCACACTTTCATAAACTTTTATAAGATCATTAATCTTCAATTTGGGGCTCATTCTTCAAGGGAAAGCAGAACTCATACTCTCAAACCATAGCGTGCCAGCCTGCAGAATCCCTGGCATTTCTGTAAGTTAAAGCATTACTTCCCTGGCTGCACAGCCCTCCCACTGCCAGCAGCCCTATCCACTCCTAGCTGGAGTGCCACCCTCATCAGTCACAACCTTGAGGCTGCTGTCATTCTCTAGGCAGCTGTGCAGGTTACACCTGCGTACCCACCTGTTACATTATCCCCACCACCTAGTCCCGTGATAGAGAAACTTTAAGAGTTTTCTTAAAAAAAAAAAAAAAAGCCTACCATAATATGCAGGCCATAAATTCCTAGTCACTACCACTGAGAAATGGTCATTTCCCACCTCTCACAAACACCAAATAATTAATTAAGTACCCTCCCAATCTTGACTGAAAGAATAGACTGAGAAGTTATCACTGGTGACTGTATTTGTACAATGAAGACTTTCTAAAAGCAAAATTGAGCATATTTTGAATTTTAGATATTTGGTAGACTTGTGATCTCTAGATTCCTTAGCACCACTCCATGTCTGTTCTGAGCCTTTAGTTCCTAGCATCCATCAATACCACAGATAAAGTACCTAAAATTAAATGTCAATAAAGCTATGACAGACATACTAAGGAGCAGGGGAGAACTTGACAAAAGAGAGCTGGCCAAGATAAATGACTGAAAAAGCATATATACACAAATACACATGTTCCAAGTGCACCATGGTAACCCAAATCTGCATAAAGCAGGAACAACTTTACAAAAAACTGATTGAGGAAGCTGGGCATAATCCTAGCATTCAGGAGGCTGAGGTAGTAGGGTCACTGGGAGTTCCAGACCAGCATGTGCTACAAAGTGAGCTCAAAGCCAGCCTGAGCTGCACAGTGAGAATCTGTCACAAAGAGGCCAAAAACAACAACAACAACAAAAAAACCCAAAACACCTGATTGAGGTCAACTGGAAGGGACAAAGTTAATCTACATTTAATCCTTCTAAAAATATTTCCCGAAAAGGGGAGGGGAGAGAGAAGGAAGACATACCATGTCTGAGGACCAATTCCCTATGACGAATTTTATCACTATATATATATCTAAAATGCATCAATAAAATAAAAATAAATTTCCTGAGCACCTATGCTATGGTAGACAATCGACTGAGAAATACAAAATGAATAAGCTCCAATGGGCTCACAATACAGAAAGAGATAAAAACACCCAGGGTTTCCCCAGAAAGCCAGAAAAGGTAACAAAAACTAAAGAACATGGAAAACAAAAAACTAAACATTGAAGGAAAGATACACATTGTGCACAGATATACATAACCTTTCTATTCATTTATAGTTTGAGGCCAACCTGGCTTTATACTGAATTCCAGACTAGCCTGAATTGTGTAGAGACCTTGCTTCTAAAAGCCTAAATAAATGAATAAATTTTTATAAATGGGTTGGGGGAAGAGTGTATAGAAGTGTAACTCTGTGGTAGAGCACTTTGGTCAGCAAGTGTGAGGTCCTGGATCCAATCCGTAACACTGGAAAAAAATTTTTTTAAAGATGAGATCTAAACCAGGCATGATAGGGGCCAGGGAGATGGCTCAGTGGAATAAGCACTTCCCTGGCAAGTGCAATGGCTTGAGTTCAATCCCCGGTTCTGTCAAAAAAAAAACAGAATCATCCCCTCCCTAAGATGTTTGAAATGCAGTGAGATAGTGAGGTTAAGCTTGATAGCCTAAATCATTTGATAATAACAATAAGCTTGTCTTCTGGATGGTTAACAACCTAGTTTGCAGACCAAAATTAGAGAAAAAGGAGGGCTACAAGGAAAGCCAACATTTTGGCCCTAGCCTTCTAAGGTCAATTAAGACTCAGGACATATGAGAACTTGTACTGTAACGTCATGTACCTCGGTAGTGTCCCAAATTTTCTGATCAAGAAGATTATGGGGCCAAAGAGGAAAGTGATCGATGACGTAGAGTGTGCCTAAGGAGAGTCACATGGGGAGAAGACACTCCCTCAGGCTTTCACAGAGAGCACATTGGCCAAGCAATGGCTATGACTCATCCACATGGCTGCACTGACAAAGGTTCTACAATCTGAGGTACAGGATCTCAGGATAAATCCTGAGGGCATTTCATTGACCTTCTCAGACCAAAAAGCTACAACTCTTGTTGCATAGGTCCTGCTTTACCTTGGTCTTAACCATCCAGTAGAAAAGTATAAAGACGAAATATAGGAAATAAAGCCATGCTGTTATGTTGAGCTGTGAGGGACTCAGGTCCCCTAATTTCTGACATTGCCAGTTAAACAGAAGACCCAATGCTATAATGGGCTACTGGACTCTTTTAGAATATTTTGCTGAGTTTACACACCTATAATATTCAATAATGGAACTTAGAAAAAATGGGGTATACCTATGAATGTCCATTTTGTATCCGTGTATTCAAAGTGGTTAGGATAGATATATAGTTGCATTCTCTTAAAGAATAGAATGATTTGTTCTAATGGTGTTTGTAAATAGGATCACAAGTCCACTTCTTGTATAGCAATTAACCACTGAGAAGAATATATGCAGTGTATTATTTGTTGAAAATGTACTTCTGATTAGATTTGAAACTGTCTCATTGCTATCTGTTTATCAATAAAACTTTGAAAAAAAATAAAATAAACCAGGCATGATGATACATTCTTGTATCCCAACACTCGGAAGGCTGAAACAGGAGAACCACCTCCTGAATTTAAGAACATCCTGAGCTACATAGTAAGTTCAAGGGCAGCAGGAAATACAGGATCATGTTTCAATAAAAAATAAAGTAAAATAAAATAGAAAAGATTAAAAATTCACTGTGGATTGTAAAAGAAACATTCTCTCAAAGCAATTCCAACAAAATGATCTTAACAACAGAAACAAAAGCAAATCATAAAAATCAAGTGAACTCTGGACTTCCTTAAGAGCATGGAGAAAAGCTACACAGTTCTGGGAAGGAAAGCATATGGCCCATCATTAAATCTCCAGCTAACACACCATCTACTTGTGAACAGATTATACATACTTGCTAAAAATTAACAGAAAGATGAGATAGAATCAGGCCCGCAGAGAAGTGAAAAAAATTAATGCTAAAAAGTCAGAAATAGTTTTTGAACGGAAGCCTTTATATTGGTGGTAGTACATGCGGGAGGGTGAGACTCTACAATTATAATTCATTGATATGAGAATAAAAATAAAACACTGAGCTAAAGAAGTAAAAAAGGAAACCGACCCAAAAATCTCCAAGAAAATAATGGAAACAATGAGAAGAAGGAGGAAGAGGAGGAGGAGGAAGAGGAAAAGGAGGTGGAGGAGGAGGAGGAGGAGGAG